GCTTTCACAGGCTACAGTTCTAATATTTATAACTCTTGTGTACAGATTTCAAAAAATTATAATTACAACTCCCAGGATCCCAGATATAGCAGATGTTCAATATTTTCTACAATGTTGGCAGAAATGCTTCTCATGATCTTTTTGATCCCCAACCCATGTATTGTATCTGTTGGAACAAGCTGTTGATAAGAAAGTCTACTGTCATTCTTTTATTTTAACGACCTTGGGAAAAAAACTGCAATGTGAAATAGGAAGAGAGATGGGAAAGGTGCTTTTTATCCTCCTAAAAATATATTACTGCATGGAAATAATGAATTACATAAAAGTGCAAATTGCCATGAGTCACATTTTATTTACTTTATGATCACAATATTTTTCTGTATAATTTCCATCTTTCTATAATTAAAAATGCAAATCTGTTGTGTGTTTTTTTGTTTTTTGTTTTTTGTTTTTTTGTGACTGACTTTCTTTGACCACTTTAATAAAACATCTATCTCATTAGCCCTTTAGGAAAATAAAAACCCCCTCTGTCAATCACTTCTTAAAGCTCAGGATCTTTGTATAAGGAAATTGTGCTATCAGCTCTGATCATTGTTAACCCTGGTATACAAATGTATTAATCCAATTTTTTGATATAATAGATGGACTCAGAGAAAATGGGCAGAGAAATTAATTTTGTGTTTGGAAGTTTCCGGCTTATGGACTCTACAATGCCTTCTGGCAGGAGGTAGCTTTGGAGGGCTCTGAGATATTCAACTTCCCAATTTGCCTAAGGCCTGCCTTGGGTAGAAGAAAGACATGCTAATTCTAAAATGAAATAGAACTGATCTATCCCTCACTCAACTTATGCACACAATTAATAGCAAAAAGAGACATTAAAAATACAACTTATATCTTAGTTGATTTTCTTAGTGTTTATATTTAAATATTTGAAAGTTTTCAAATGTCACACTCTCTAACATTTGCCCATAAATCTATAAAATATATTTAAAAATACATTTTTTTTCATGAAAAAGTAATGAACCTCAAATTTACAGACTCACAGGTGACTTCTCTGCCTCACTCTTAAGCTATAAAAATGCTCTGTGATAAAATAAAATGTGACTTCCAGTAGAACTTCTAGCCTGAGGAGATGCTGGAGGAGTGTGCCGGAGAGAGCACAACTACCAGAAATAGATGTATGAGAAGTTGGACTTTTAGAAACTAGGAATTGTAAAATGTACCCACTTGACTAACGAGGCTATTTTGGAATGTTAGCTTGTTTTCTGGAAACCTTAGGTAACAAGGTTTTACATCATAGCCTTCTGGTTGCTATGATATAAAGGTACCTGGGTGCTCACTCTGGAGATGCAAAAGCCCAAAGTATAAATACAGCCAGGCCCCTGAAGGATTCTCATGCTATATTTGTTGAGGGCACATGGAAACATTTTTAGTAAGAGACCTAAACCAAACTTTAAGGACTTGGATGGCTCCATCAGCTTTTTTCACCTCTTCCCACTCCAAGGGTGCTTTCTGGGTTCTTAATTCCTTCCTCCCTGGAGTTCTTTAAGTGATGCTGAAGTGACAACGTGGAAGAGTGCCCATCATCAGCTCTGTATCCAGATTGCTGCTGAGAATGGGGAAATTAAAGAAGTTCTTTTTAGATGCTGTCAATTTTTCTTAGAGTTCCCCTGAGGCATGCTCAAAGCCAGAATGAGAACCTGCATTAGAACTCCAGCTGCTTTGTAGGAGGAAGTGTAGGAAGAGGGCAAGGGCTGCAGGCCTCGGGGTGGGTGCATGCAAAACTCTGTGGAGGTTATGTAAAGGATTTTAGAGAATTCATCTATAAAACAGAAACCATAAGTCTACAGAGCTGTAGGATTCCACTGAGTGAACAAAGTGTCAGGAAACTAGCAGACATTTAACACTTGCTTCCCAGAATTCCATTCTCTGCATCATTTATGGACCACAAGAGACATTTGGAAGATGGAAATGAAACTGCCGCCATTTTCTTTTGGATTGGAAGATCTGTACAGGGCTTAAGGTGCTGTAACAACTCATGCATGCTCTCACTTAACCTGCTGACTCACCTGGTTGGTGTCAGACAGTGTTTGGGTTCCTGGAATCTTCTCCTCTAGGTTCTCTAATTTCTGGGCTAGGTGTGTGTTTAGCTCTCTGGGGAAGAGTATGCAGTTTACCTGCAAGACACCTTTATCCTTGAAACTGGAGTCCTGGAGACAGTGAGACACTGATGTAGGTTCTGGTCCCTCTTTGCAGATTTCCCTCATTCTTGCAGGTTGCACCTCATCCTTGCTTCCCTTCTTCACGACTGTCTTTTCTTCCCAGCTGCTTGCCCTGCTAACTTTAGACTTCAGCATGAAACCCCAAAACGACAGCCTCAGTGTACAGTTCAACCAGTTCCCACAATTGAGTAAGAACCAAATGGATAAATTCCTATAATAACTTCCTTAGTATGTATCTATTTCCGAGTGGTTCTGCTTCTGTTTGAATTTTCACTCTTATTCCTCTCAAAATGCTTAACATAGTCCTCTGCTCATAGCAAACATCTCACTCGTTTTACTTCATTCTCAATCATTTGGTGAAAATCAACTCTGCTGGATGCTGGGGACACAGAGATGAATAAAGCAAGATCTGGGCCTACAAATCACACACAATCTGTTGGAAAGATTAAAGTTCCTCTATTAATGGGATTGACTCCTGGAAGTAATGTTCTGCTCTTTTTAGCAATAAAATCTGGGCTGGTGGAGGAGCTTGCCTGGCCACATTCTGGCCATGGGGCAATTTTGACATAGAGGGAATCCTAAATGGTCACAATGATTTCCCAGGTATTAAAACACTTCCACTTCAAAATGTCTTTCCAATGAATGCATTGCAATGAACTTCACAAGGACATGGTGTAGTGGGCTTGGGCAGGTGTTATCATACTATTTTATAGATAAATAAACTGGAGTCTGGAGTAGGATTTGAATCTAAAATTTCTGAATCCTAGGTCTCTCTACTGTGACACAGGTTTTCTCCTTGGCAATTCCAGATTGAAATCTTGCTTCACAAAATGAAAAGCCCAGAGGCCTGAAAGACTTATGGATTACCCTATAAAGTGTGTGGTTATCTGAAGGATCACCTACCATGTTTTCTGAGTTGAGTAATGCTTAGAGCAAAGTCCAGGCCCTGGAGAGATTCTGTGTTTAAATTCTTAAGTGTATTTCTTTTGGATGCCACCTAGTATTCAAAATAATAGCCTATTTCTCAAAACCAGCACCCTACTTTCTCATTAGGCATACCTATGTATAGTTTCCATAACAAAATCCACTTAGTAGCCCACAGAGCCTTGTCACATTGGATTTATCTTGCTGCCAGCTTCCAGAAATCTGTAAATGCTACTATCTCTCTTTTTGGATTAAATCTGATTCACTTTCTCAAAGTTGAAATAATTCATACAATATTTTTAGGCTAGAGAATCTGAAGCAAAGACCATTTCTGTTGAAGAAAAAAGACAGACACATCCCTAGGGAATGTTAAGAGCTCTGTCTTACCTCCAAATAAAGAGTGTACATTTTCACACATTTTGGAAAAATCAGCATTAGGCATGTGCATGCTAGTTTTAGTAGATGATTGTTCAAATTATGTATCACTTTACACCAACTGCTCTGAGAACAAAATAGCACCCTCAGTTGTGGAATTGATTTGCAAACTTGCAACGCCCAAGACGATTTGCTTGTAGTATTCTCTTATTTAATTTAGCATGAAGTAGTACCTTAGAAATAGCAGGTGCTTAAAAACTATCCAAAGACAATTTAATGCTTATCTAATGCCTAGAAAGTAGTTATCTCTGGTGGAGGCCAATGTTATAGAATTGTGTGAAAGAGGCTGGCATGGTATGAAATATTTCATTATTCTTCATAGGATGCCTTTGTCATTGTCTCCAAAATGTATATATATATTTTAAGTTAACTCTTTCTCTTTTTGTTTTATTTCCTTAAAATCATTTTAGAGTAAAGGTTGCTAAGCATATAAAGAAATCTTAGAGAATTTCTCTCAAGTTACTAAAACATAATGCAAAATCATAAATGGTTAGGGCCAGAATGCATTTTTGTGTGTCTTTGTTTACTTAGCACACAAAAACATATGTTTTCTTTTGTGCATTAGTGAAGTTTCTGCACTGCTATACCTTGCAGGTGAAAAGCCTAGAAAAGCAAAACAAAGCAAAACAAAATACAAGAGCAGAAGATTTGAAACATTAGGAAATACTGCAGTTATATGCTCTTGTCTATTGATCTTAATCCTTAATCTTTACTCTTATTCTGAGTGGTTTATCTTTATCCACTGGATTTGGAAAAGCAGTAAACTACTCACTGCTTTCTTAAAGTACGGTTTGACTGAATATCTCTGAGGGATAACCTCAGAAATACAAGAAACTTCCAATGCAATCTTCTATCCAGATGGTTAGTATGGGGACCATGGTTGTTAGAGGTAAGATCTGCCCTGTGATGGTGCTGTTGGCAAAGTGATTGTGTTGATAGCAGAGAAGGCACAGGAGAGCCTTTTGGTCTCAGGTGATGGCTTTTAGACGTGCTCCTATCAGACTTAGTTTGTAGATCTCAGTTTGTGTACTGAGTTTTATTTACCTTACAAGCAAAGTTATTTTCCATATCTAAAAAGACTAAAAAAAAGATGAGGATTAAAATGCTAAAGAGCCAAAACTGTTTGGCTCAGTGGGTAGAGCATCAGTCAGCATGAGGACGGAAAGGTCCCACGTTTTATTCTGGTCAAGGGCATGTACCTTGGTTGTGGACAAATCCCCAGTAGGGAGTGTGCAAGAGGCAGCTGATCAATGTTTCTCTCTCATTGATGTTTCTAACCCTCTATCCCTCTCCCTTCCTCTCTGAAAAAATCATAAAATATATTAAAAAAAATAAAATAAAATGCTAAAGAAAAAGCACAGACCACATTAGTTGTCAGGGTACTTAAAAACAACAACAAAACACTTCCTTTTACGAAAAGGTGAGTTTTCAGCCGAAACCAGTTTGGCTCAGTGGATAGAGCATCGGTCTGTGGACTGAAAGGTCCCAGGTTCGATTCTGGTCAAGGGAATGTACATTGGTTGCAGGCACTGGGGAGTGGGGGGTGTGCAAGAGGCAGCTGGTCGATGTTTCTCTCTCATTGATGTTTTTAACTTTCTATCCCTCTCCTTTCCTCTCTGTAAAAATCAATAAAATATATATATAAAAAAAAAAAAGGAAAAGAAAAGGTGAGTTTTCAGATTTTCCTTCTTCAATGAGTTCTGAGTACCTGTGAGTCAGAGTAGTGGAGACTTACTCTTCACTATGTCCCTTTTATACCTTTTGAATTTTGTACCATCTGCATTCATTAGCTAATAATTAAAAAAAAATCTGAAAGGAGAGTTTACAACAGTATGACTCTAATAAGTAAAATTTAAAGTTGTGTATTAATGTATTTATTTTTATCAACAGTGCATGGCTTTTACTGAGTCAATCCTATCCAATTTATTGAACAACTATGTACTACGCACAAAGCTCTGGATCAGGCCTGGTGGGGTTTACAAAAACCTTCAAGGTGTTTAACATTCTGTCCTAGCTGATGTGAACAGAAGTTATTCCAAAAGCCTCTCTTTTTGCTTGGTCGAGGGTCTTAATGAGAGCTCACTGTTTAACACTGCTATCTATATAGAAGCCGTTCTTTCTTCTTTCTTTTCTTTCTTTTTAACTATGTGGTTATACTTAGGGAAGTGGTTGCACACAGCGGTTATAACTGGGGAAAGTTCTGTCTTTCATCCATCCACTCAATAAGCAGAGTGCCGGGCCCTTTGCATGCAGAGTGCCTGCCTTCAAGGAGTTACCATCTAGCTGGGATTTAGATTCAGCTCCGAACTTCCCTTGTCTCCTGATGTCTGAGAAAAGGTAGTTGGGCTACTTAAAAAAATAAAACAAATTGTGGCTTAGGAGATTTAATATTCTTCAGGGTTTAGTATCTGCATAAATAGGGATATTTAAATATGCATTGTATCATTTAGGCACATCATCCCTTCCTACAGAAACGAGTCATTTATAAGATAAATACATAAAACACAATAAGACAACTGAGCTACTTTTGGCTCTACATATAGCTTTGGAATGATCACACTTCTTTCCACAGGTAAGTGATGAGTTATGAAATATGACTTATTAATAAGGTCTGTTGCCTAAAAGCAGGAAACAGAAATATTTTTATCACTGGCAGTGGATAAACATGAATTCTTTAATTTTAAAAAAGCTAAGAAAAAATTTCAGTGCTGCAATATATTAGCATCAAGAAAAAAGAAGCTTTTATATTAAGAAATATCTGATTAAGAAGATAGAACTATTAGAAGCAGGACACATTCTCCTTCAAGGGAGACAGTGCTTGGAATTCTGATTTATTTGTGTGAAAAAGATATATCTTTTTTTTTTTTTTTTTTTTTTTTTTTTTATGTCTGTAGGAAGAAAGACTGGCTGTAAGGGTGAAAAACAATTCAATCCTAAAATATCCCTCAGGTTCTAATAGTTTACCATGTCTTCACCTTTAAGAAAGAAATCATATGAAAGCAAAATTAAAAAAAAATCCATGCATTTATAGATTTTTAATGATATATTGAATATGTACATTATTGCCACAATACTTACACTATTAGTAATCCTTGGAAATTAGAATATTTCTTAATAATCTTACTGTAAAACTTAGGATTACAATGGTATCTGCTGCTTTTCTTAGTTGTAGACTAAAAGACATAATTCTATGTCTCCAGCAAGTAGGCCTTATATGGCAGGATAGACAAATTGAATCTTAAAAGATTTTATCTTCACTGCATTTTTCTTCTTGTAGCTGCTCTATTCCAAAAGCTAATATAAAGCTTTTGGAACTTGAATTGTTTTATGTTGTATATTTGTCTTTGTTTTTTATAAATTTAATAGTCCGTAAGTTTATCCTCAAACACTAAACCACTACATAGTAGAGATGAAATCTGATTTGAACCATTCAGCTCTGTATTGCCAGTGATGTTATCAGAGGAGCTACAAGAAGAATTTCTCTAAATGGTCATATAAATCTCACAAATGTGAAGCTGGTGCTCTGATTTGTATTCCATGTAATGGGAAGACTTGTTTGAATGAAGGGATTGTTTTGATGTTAGGCTGATATTAGATCATTGACACTTAACCCAGTGACTTTAGCCTAAAGGAACTCTTTGGTGGAAATGCACTTGGTGTTTTCAGCTTACTTTGCTTCTGACCGAAATTCTTATCACCACCAAGCCCATAATTAGATACAAAACAAGCACATCAACAGGAAACACAAGGCAAGTCTCCATAGGATGACAGGAAAGAGAACAAGGACTGAAAAGATGATGCTCAAAAAACACAAAATTCATATTAACAGTGAAAAGATGCTACAGTACTTGTTCAACCTGGCCTGGCTCTCCGCAGGGCACCAGCAGTCTGGCTGGCACCCACAGCAGGGAGTCTTGGTGAAAATAGCTATTTCCAATGGGTGCATATTGTCAGTTTCACAAACAGGACTTCCTGTGGGAAATACCAATGCCAAGAATCTGTATTTTTGCTTAGATTGGGGGCTTTTCTTACAACTACCCTCCAGCAGATTTTCACAATTTGTTATTGGTTCCACTCCTTTCAAAGGTACTCTGGAGCAGTATGCCACTACCTATATTCTGTGTATACAAACCCCTACACAGAGATCTTGCGAAATGCCTGTTCTGGCTTTACAGAAGGAATTGGCATTTTCAACAAGGACTGGTGGGTCTGGACTCCAGCTCTGGGGTGATGTTGATCTTGCTGGTCTGTGGACCATGTTAGAATCACAAGGCTTGACTGAAAGTTATCAAACTGTGGTCGCCATACTAGCAGCATCAGACTTACCTGATAGTTTGTAAATGCATTTCTTTCCTCTTCTACCCTAGACCTACTGAATCAGAAATTCTGAGGGTGGACCTTGGCTGTCTGTGTTTTAGCAAATGCTTCAAGATGATTCCAATTCACCCTGAAGTTTTGAACCATGTCTATATATTATAACTAGAGGCTCGGTGCATGAATTCATGCAAATTTAAAGAAAATTAATTAGAAGAAATATTTTAATATTGCTATTTGCCTTTTCTCTATACTGGAAGTGTCAACTAAATCCACGATTGACAATGATAGATGAAAACACATGTGTGTGATTGGCGCCAGTGAGAGCTTTATATGTATTGTGCATGCACAAGTCAACTTAGCCTTTTATAGATATAGAATAAACTTGCTTAATTAGACCTGCTTTATGATTTAGCTAAGCTTTTTCCACCCCAGTAAAGCATCCCAACTTCTCTTCCAGGTAATTGTCTGCAACACAGCAGTATATATCAAGATGAAGCAGATTATTATTGTAAATCATGCAGGTAGAACAAAGGGTAAATTATTTAACTGCAACAGTGTTTGACTATATTCTGTGCAATGAGAAAACCTGAAGTCATTTTCAAGGTTCAGTTTCTAAACTTTCTAAATCTCCATTTTTCATCTAATGAAAAGAAAATAGGATTCCACCAAATCTCCTATCTACCTACTCCAGAACTGTGAGGATCAAATGAGATGACGCACATGAAAACACTTTACAGACATTTGATTAAATGTAAAATGTTTCCACCTGCTTATAAAGCAAGTCATGTTCCTAGCCTGCAGAAACCATAAGGAGGCTAGTCACTAGGGAGAGGAGGAAGCTAGGCATTGCTACATGACATCATTACCCAGACAGTCGAACACTTAGCATATTAGCCATATATATATATATATTGTATATATATATATATATATATATATATAGATAGATAGATATAGATGATATAGATATAGATATAGATATATCATAGATAGATAGATACTAGTAAGGTGGGAGCTTTAAAAATAGTGAGGTTTAAGCCTCAATCCAAGTTAGGAAAGCAAGACAGTATTATTATGATCATCATTATCTCCATCTTACACACGAGGAAAAGAAGGGGAGGTGAAGTACTTGTCCAAGTTTGCGGTTGCTAAGTGGTGGGGCTGGAACTAAAATCTAAGACTTGTCACCCAGAGTCCTGCTCTTTCAGCTCCCCTCTCCTGTCTGCTGAGGACATTTTCAGGATGGACTCCCAAAGTGGAGGCTGATATTGTTTGTACTGTTCTGCCTACTGTCTGGGCTGAAGAGCCCATCAATCTAGCTTCTTTCAAGAGAGCTCTATTCTATGAGGCCCTTTCCATCACTTGGCATTTCTCCCAATCAGTATACACTTAATTTTTTTTTAAAAGCCACCTGGTTTTGTTTCTTGTTCGTGGGTATGCCTTTTTGTTAAGTGGGTGAGGGATATGTAATCTATCTCATGCATAATTTGTTTAAGACAAGTCATTAAAAATGCACTAAAGTTTAATATGCTGTATGTGTTCCTGCTTAGAGTTCTTTTCCCCATGCAAATGATTTTGAAAGTTTTAAAAATAGTATTTAAGGTTTTATTGCATGCCATTGTTTGCAATACCTTGTTTTAAAGCTCTAAAATTAACATTTCTATCCTATCAATTTTATCTTCTGTTTGCCTGTTATTGATTTTTTTTTTTTTCCTTTACCTTCTGTGTGTCTAATGGAAACTGAGCTAATGGGTCTCTGCTTTGTTTATTCCTTGCTTATGCAGCAGCATTGTTTTGATGTGGTCAGCATAGCTCTAGGAATAGGGCTGTGAGCAGCAGCATGGGGAGTTCACCCACACACTCCATTTTATTTGTGTAGATTCAGATCTAAAGGAATCCTCGCCGCTGCTCTCTCTTCCACGGTCACTGTTCCTTTCTGTCTGTTTCATTTAATTGTGTTTTGGGGAGGCAGCCTCGTTTTCCCTCAAGGATATCCTTGTGAGATAATCACAGAATATACAGAACTGCCCAGAGTGACTGGGAAGATTACCCTGCCACCTGTGAGAAGCTCCACCCTGATTCACGAGGCCATCCTGACTTCCTACTAAACTAATCCACCACTGGCCTGGGCTCTTTAACCAGGGAGATCCTTGAGGGGGGAGTGATGGCAGA